ATGTGCTGTCTACAGGTGTTGCCTGGCCGGTACCTGCCATGCAGTGTCGCGACCAGACCGTGATGCTGGACCTCCGCTATTGTGCTCGTCTGTAGGTGTGCTTGGCCGGTACCTGCCATCAGTGTCGTGACCAGACCGTGATGTGGACCTCCGCTATTGTGCTCGTCTACAGGTGTGCTTGGCCGGTACCTGCCATCAGTGTCGTGACCAGACCGTGATGTGGACCTCCGCTGTTGTGCTCGTCTACAGGTGTGCTTGGCCGGTACCTACGATCAGCGTCGTGGCCAAACCGTGATCACTTTAAGTGATATTACATCCGCTGTCGGTGAGGTTTTCACTCGCCTCAAGCTGGAACACCGCGCATTTCCTGCTGCTACAGCTCATCGTTACCCAGCAGTGCCGGAGTGGATTGGAGCAAATGCGTCATTTGGAAGTCGACGTAACGAAACAAAGCTAAACGGATAGACGGTAAGGAGCCCCCCCCCCCCCCCCTCCCCGATATGCTGTGAGTAAAGCTGTGCCGCACGCGAAAAAGGATGGCACTGGCGGCCCAGTTTGCCGCGTCAGCACGCGAGGTCGTCCACACAACAGGGAGCTACATTATGGCTGGCACTGGTCATCGTTGTTCTCTCCCATCTCAACAATTAGCCCGATCCGTAAACCAAGTGCATGCGCTTTCGTTTGCCATCACATCTTTAAAGATAGAAGCAAATTTATGACCCATTACAAATGTTTCGGTTCGCTGTGTCCGGCGCTAGATGAAACAGTTGAGTGCGCGCGGTGGCCGGAAAGGCAGGTGCTGATATTCGCACGATCAATCCCGGCGAAGAGGCGATCGGTGTCATTACACGGCTGAATGCTTCGCAACCAACATAACCATCAGTTCCCGTCAAAATGATGCCTACCGATACAACAAACCATCCAAGCCAGTCGCAGCCCGGCGAATATATATTCCTGGTGTCGAGAACCTTAGAAGGGTTGCGGTGTGCCGCAAGGTCACGTTTCCCAGTCCTGCACGCGTCTCAGTTTCAGTCGACCTAGGCTATGACCTAGTAACTATGACATGTTTTTTACACTCATGTACTGCTGTAGTTTCAACCGCTTTCTGTTTCGTTCATGTTGTTATTAAAGCATACGAATAGCCTCCATAGACATTCAATCCCGACCACCAGCACTCTATAACGACCATCCCACTTGGACCAGGTCTCCAATTTGTTTAATACCGGAGGTGACAGCGCCTGCTTGTTTCAGTACATTAGTTTGTTCCGCCGGCGTGCCTCTGCAGCTTTGTCCACGTTTATCAAATCGTGCGAGGCTGTGATTTTGCGCCTGGCCTGGTGGCCCTGAGGCGTCAGCAGAACATTACGTCCATGATTCTCCGGGGTGGTCGAGG